TAATTTATAATAGTTTTCATAAAACTAGCTCTCACTTTGTGTGGCATTTAAGGCAGTCATATTGTTATATTGTTATAATAAATTTTAAAATTATATTTAAATAAACTATTAGTATTAAATGCAGTGAGTTCCAAAAGTTAGTAACATGTACAATTACTAATGCTAAAAGGATTTATTTATAATTCATAATTCACGATTTTTAATCTTATAATTAGAATAATTTTGTATAAAATTAACAACAAATATTAAAAAAATAAAAATTAAACGGATGAAAATTATAGTTTATTATAGTTTATTAAGTGCTAGTATAGTTTTTCTATGTTTATTGGCTGTAATATTATTATATTATTATATTATATTTATAATTTAAATTTATTATATTATATTAGTTGCAAATATTAACATAAAACAATTGAACTTAAAATGCATTTTTGTATCTTTATAAAATATTTTACTAATTAACTTTGTCTTTTATTTAAATTAATCATTACGACTTTTAATTAATCATACGATTAAAAATGTACTTAAAAATAATGCCATTAATATTATAATGCAGCAAATATTCTATCAAGATTATTTATAGATATTGCTGTACTAGTTAAACAAATAAAAGTTTAATTAATGAATCATGAAATAATAACTTAAATTCTTGATAAAAGTTATGTCAATTAGAATATAGTTGCCAATGATCACATAAAATTTGTGTCAATATACTTATTATTTTGTCAATAATATAAACTACCGTAGATTAGGATTAATACATTAATTGTACATTAATTTAGGTTTTTTATTTGATAATAAAAATATAAAATAAATCATCTAAATATAATGATTAAACATGTAGTTTAAAAATATATATATAAAAATTTATTTCTCATGTCATGATTTCGACGACAATATCGAAACAATTTATCAAACGTTATCAGTAATAGTGATGTGTATGCTATTGGTGCCAATAATTAAGGAAGTCTGGATTTTAATCACAACAGGAATGTAAACTGAACCTTACCCCCCAAATAATACTAACTATACAAACAATGTGTAATCAATTTTATGAGCCATGGTTACAAATTATATATACAATAAATATAAAATATAATTTGGGAATGAATTTAAAAAAGTACTGACATCTCATTTTACACATTACAATTATATCGTAGATTTAATCAATAAATTGTTCATATAATTTTTTATAAATTAAATTAATTAAATTATTTAATTTTGATTTTTAAATTAGATAATTGGTTTTCTATAATTTATTATATTTCAATGAACAGGTTAGTAAGAATGATTTAAAATGTCTTCATCGAGAAAATAAGTTTATGATGATTTATATATTAATTACAATTAATGCCTGACATGATTAATTTGTTTGCCTACTAACATTATATGAAGAACACTGACATTATATGAAAATTTTTATCGGTATTATAAGCTAAATAAAGTATACATTAATAAAAAGGGTTTTACCACAAAAGACCTAAAACCGACAAGACCTAAACTTGAATAACTAACTGACCTATGGACACATAATATTTTTTATTTTATGAGTAGAATAGACTAAATTATCCTAATCTAAAATAAGTCAAATAACCATTGGTCAGTTAGTTATTTGAGTTTAGGTCATTTCCGTTTTAGTTCTTTTAGGTAAGTCCAAATTAAAGTATATTTAATTTATTGTATATAGTCATTTAAACAAATAATTTATTAAATTCTATTTTAAAACCTAATAGCATCTTAAGGTAATAATGATAAATATTGAGCTACAAATTCAAGAAAACACTCAAATGCTTACTACCGGTTAACTTATTTACTACGCTGGATGAGGCTACTCGTGAACCCATATATTAGGTGAAACAGAAAGTCCGTGGAACAATTGATTTTAATATATCTCCCAAAGTACAAATGACAGAGAATATTGCTATATATCATTCATCGACATATTTACCCCTGCTAAGGGTAATAGCCCTCCAGCGGTGGGGTAGCATCGTTATCCCCTTCGAATCTTTCTTTTTGTTAACCTCAGAAAACCTAATAGCATCTTAAGGTAATAATGATAAATATTGAGCTACAAATTCAAGAAAACACTCAAATGCTTACCACCGGTTAACTTATTTACTACGCTCGATGAGGCTACTCGTGAACCCATATAAATTATAATACCGGTCGAGTTTTCAACATTTGACCGTTACTTATGAGCTATAAACTTGTACATTTATCATACCTGACGATATCAATGAAAACACGCATAAAAGTACAAAATCGGCTACAAAATACCATTGAAGCTATTAAATTGTCAAATAATGACAGATATTGAAAATTTAAATACAATTAGCGAGAATATATCTGTGCAGGATATTTTTACAGTATAAGTGAGTTATATAGAGTTGATCATTTAGTTTAGTTAATTGAAATTGTTATATTTATATATAATTTTTTTGTCTATATTATAAATATACAACTTTTTAATTAATTTCTATAATGAATTATACAACGTTATTTACTTTATAATTTTGTTAACAATTTAATGATATAAACATCTTATTTATGATAACCGTAACAGCATACTACATACAACTGAAAAGTTTGATAATGGTTAGCTATCACATTGTCAATAACAACCACATAATATGCTCTACTGCTTTATAATTTATATACAGTTTATTCAAAATGTCTGAAAAAATATTTATTTAATGTTTTAAAATTAATTGTATTCTTGAAAAATTTACTTATTTAAATGTTTGAAAATGTTATATTCATTTATAAATTTTATTAATACAATACAGCATTTTCATGTCTATTTATTGTAATAAAGGTTAATCATTACAAAATATTCATACATTTATAAATCCTAATACAGTATTATTAAATATTAATTACTAAGTATTGAACTAACCAGTTATCATAAAACAATTTAATAAATATGAATGAATTCGAAATAATTAAACAAATTGGCAAGGGCGGTTTTGGTAATGTGTTTAAAGCAATAAACAAATCTAATGGAAATATTATCGCTATTAAACAAATTGATAGTTCAGGTATGAAAAATATTGAAATAGTAAAATGTAAATCATTAAGAATAAATAAATAAAATATTTAAATGATGCAAGTAGGGCTGCCACCCGTCCTCCATTTGGAGGATTGTCCTTCAATTAGTCCTTCAAAAACAGTCCTCCCGAGGGTCTCAGGTGAATAATGTCTTCCCACAGATATTTGTTAAAATAATCCAAATAAGAATTTAATTATCAATAAAATTTGTGAATAAAAATATTTATATTTAATATTACTTGTAATTTGATTATAAATTATTTATATACACTATGAATTCAATGTTAGGACAATACTAAGCGTTTTAAACATTATAACAATTGTTACTTATATTATAAGTACATGTGGAACAATTATCGAATTGTTTTTATCCTACCAATGTCCTCCAGACCTACTTCAATTTTGACAATTTGTCCTCCCAGGCTCTGAAAATAGGTGGCAGCCCTAGATGAAAGTAAAAATCATAAAAACATAATAATTAATTTAATTCTAATTTTAATTTATTTAGCAAGTCTAAAAAATCATTTTCAGTAATACTCTTTAACAAAAATTAATATAAACCTAAAAATATTTACTTTTATATTAAGATTTTCATTGAATATTTTAGATTTTAAACCGAAGGAAAAGGAAAGGATTTCAAAAGAAATAGATTCATTAACTAAAACTCAATCTATATATGTTGTTGAATTTTACGGTTCATGGTCAGATGGACAATATTATAACATTGCAATGGAATTGTGTAATGACACCCTTGAAAATATAATACTATTCAAATCCCAAATATTTGGCAGAAAATCAGGTGAACCAATGAATATATTTGAGTATTTCATATCCTGCTTAATATTTCGACAATTGTTAGAAAGTGTTCAGTATTTACATGAATTGAATCCACAGATCATTCACAGAGACCTCAAACCAGAAAACGTATTAATTGATATAAACGGTCGGAACAATAGATTTATTAAATTATGTGACTTTGGTTTGGCTACTGTTCACGACAAAACTATTCACTACAGACAGTCACAAAAACATACCGCAGATGTGGGTGATTACAAATATACGGCGCCTGAAATATTACAGGGTAAAAAATATGGACACAAATCGGATATTTATAACTTATCTACGACAAAACTATTCACTACAGACAGTCACAAAAACATACCGCAGATGTGGGTGATTACAAATATACGGCGCCTGAAATATTACAGGGTAAAAAATATGGACACAAATCGGATATTTATAACTTATCTATTATTGGTGGCGAAATATTTGACCTCGATTTATGTATGACTGACAGTAAAAGGTGAAAATTATGCTTATATTATTAATTGCAAAATATATTTAACAAGTTTATTTACATAATAGAGAAGAAATGTACAAGCAAGTTTGTCCAAGTTTAAATTATCCAATTCATGAGTTAGAATCTATTCTTTTGTCAATGCATTTGGTCCCGCAATGGGATAAACGTCCAGAATGTCGGGAAATATTAGATAAATATTTCGATTGGTGTATTAATAAGAATATCATTCTAACTGATCCAGATTTTAAAACGATTACTGAAAAACTTCAGCAACATGATAATAAATTTTTCTTTAATATTTTAAAATTTTTTGTTAAATATAAACCAACGTTAATTCATCAAGATTCTGGACTATCTGATAAAATTTTAAATAAGAAAGAATTAACGATTTTATTATTGGGTGAGTCCGGTGTGGGTAAGTCCACATTCATCAACGCATTCGCCAATTACATAACATACGAGACATTGGATGAGGCCAAATGTAATCCAATTGTACTGATACCAGGATCATTCATATTAAATGATTTAGAGGCATATAAAGAAGATAAAGTCACATTTGGAATACAAGTTGTCAGTGACAACGCAAAATCATCCACGACGTATCCAAAGTGTTATAAATTTGAAAGTGGCAATGTTATAATTAAAATAATTGATGCACCCAGTTTTTTAAACACGGAAAATGGGAATTTTGGGATTACAAAGAAAGTGTTGGAATTTATTAGTATTTATCGTGAGATTAATGCAATCTGTGTGCTCTTAAAGGCTAATAACGCGCCAATTAGTAAAATTTTTCAGAATTCATTATTACAGTTGTTCTGGCACTTGAATAAATCGGCGGCCGATAACATACTGTTCCTCTTTACCAACGCCCGATCCACCCAATATGCGCCGGGAGATACCGGACCCGCATTAAAACAATTTTTAAGTGACATTAAAGGGGAATATCCGTTTGTGGACATACCGTACCACAAGAAAACGATCTATTGTTTCGATAACGAGGCCTTTCGGTTCGCAGTGGCGTCGGCACCGCCTAATAACATGGTGTTTGACGATACGTTAACACGTGATTACGAAGTCAGTTGGGAAGTGTATGTATTTGCTATCATGTTAACATTGCTTACATAATGCAGTAATTATCAGGGTCTAATAGATATAATCATTTTAATATTTAGTTATGTAAGAATATTAAAAATAATGACTAAGATTAATTTTTTATAAATAAATAATATCAACGCTTAAATTTATTAAAATAATTGTATGATTATATTCATATTATTTACGATATTACTGTACCATAGTAAAATTTAAAAATGAATAGTTTGCAACGTCCAATTCTTAATAATTACATTAATTGTGATTATTAAATTATTCTATATTATATTTACAGTCTTAACCTAGCATAAAAAATTCATAAACTATTATTATTAAATAATAATTTTATTTTATAATTAACACAGATCTGTCAAGGAGTGCGATCGACTCTTGGAGCGAATCATATCCCTGTCCCCTCACATAGTGATGGAAACCCTATCTCTCAATAACGCCAAACAACACATAATTTTATTGACCCAACCGTTGGCAGACATCGCCAAAAATATCTCGGATAATGTGTACGAGTGCGAACGACGCAAACGAAAGATTTACGAATTCACGGATGATATAAACCATCTCCAGAAGGACCTGTATATCCCTTCCGTGGACATCGAATCGGAACCATTAGATCAGCCGAAGATTGTTTGCGGTGACAAGAAGTGCTGCACTCAAGAGAATATCAACGGAAACATTAAGACCCATTTCAAAACCAATTGCCATTCACCTTGCTACTTGACATATAGCGACGGCAATATTTTGGGCAATAAGGGTTTACTCGACTGCAAGGCGTCCAATAAGTACGAGAGGACAGGACCCGATCGTTGGGATTACCCTAAAAATATGGTGCCGGATACTAATATTGAGCTCAACAAAGATGGTAAAATGTTATTGCATACGGTAAGTACAACTAAATCGGACAAGTGTTTCGGGTGCGGCCACTCCTTTCAAACGCACCTACATATCAATTTCGAGACAAAGATCGTGAAGAAACAGGTCCGGGATGAGAGCAAGTATAAGCGTATAACTACCGTCAAAGAAATGACCCTGGCTCAAGATGAGCAAATTAAAAAGCTTGAAATTACAATCGAAGAATTGTCCAAGGAAAATCATATTATAACAAAAGCTATGGCTAAGTTTGCGAGTTTCATTAAAAATAATGCCCTGACACCTTCTAACGATGTGTTTGAGGATTACGTGAAATTTATCATTAAAAATGAAGAACAAGCAGGCAACTTTGATGGAAGTAGCAGTAGGGTGACCATCGACAAATTGACGCAAATGCTGAAACAGTATGAATACGATAAAGTTATATTGGATGCCATGAAGAAAAGCGACCATGGATCTATATGGGTTGAGGATATCGAACAGATTATCAAACAACTTTGTGGATTAAAGTGGAATGGAAAAGCTATTAAAAAGCTTTTGGCCTCACAAATACAGTCCAAGGATCAGAGTCATGCTCAAAATGAGCTGGTTATTAGTTGTGGACATCCGACTACTTCTGTTGGAAAACTGAATGCGTTTTGGAATAAGATTTTCTAAAGTTTTAATTAATATTACCTTTTTGAATATTTTAATAATTAATTATAAATTTTACCATAAATTTAATAAATCTGTCTTTTAATTATATTGTTATAACAAGATGTCTAGTAATAATTATTTTATTATTTAGTTTATCTATTGAATAATATATGCATTGAATGAAATTTTTATAATTTCTATTTTGACTTTAAATAAACCCTTTAAAAATAAAAATATTACTAATTATTGAGTGTCATTTTCTGTACAACTCATCTATTTAAACCCTCACGATTATAGTTTAGCCATGCTAAATTAAAAATATCAGGGTCCGATAATCTATGTGAAAGTGGTATGGTCATAATGGGTAATCAGATTTCCGATATTTCTATGATTTTCAAAGTTTTTATATCATTATTCAATTTTTTACATTACTTATCATCTAAAAGTGAGCCATAAAAATAATTAATTAATTTACACCAAATACCTAATGAGTTTGCATAGAGAGTTATACGAATATCGGAAACTTGCCCATTGTTTAAGACCAAACCACTTTCCCATAGATTATCGGACCCGGATATTCGTAATTTAGCATGGCTAAACTATATAATCATGTAGGTTTTAATTAGATAAGAGTTATATGGAAAATGACACTCCAATGTAAGTTTATACAATAAATGTAGAAAATAAATTAAAACTACGAAAATATTTTTAATTTATAGCACAAATAAAATTAATGCTACCCATTATTTTATATTAACTTTGATTTCAGTTCATAGTCTGCTAGCAACAGTTAGACTCTAATTTAATAATAGTGAGATTTTTAAAAATAATTCATCATTTTTAAAAATTAATCATGTATTAATGACTAAGTTCAATGCATGAATTTCAACTCATGCTTACAATTACTATATAACAAAATTTATTGTATTATGAGTCTTAAGGTAAGATCAGCCAGTTCCACGTATTACAAATTATTAAAAATAGTAATACTTATAGCATTACTAAATGTGAATGCTACCTATTTTTGAAACTTAAAGTTAAGATTCTTAACACTAACTTAATAAAAGTATTATAATTTTTTAGTACACTGAGCGTATTTGACCATTGTCAAGGGCATTTAGAAATATTTGAACATGTTTGGAAAAACAATTTTTATTTAAATTATCTCAGAATTAAATGTAAACATTTCTGTATTTAATTGGAGAGATAAGTTTAATTAAACAATATTTAAAACTATAATTTAAATTTTTAGAATAAAAAATAAAAATATACTCATATACTAATAGATATTTTTAATGCTATAAATTATAATAATGTATTACTAAATAAAGCAAAGTATAAACTCTATATATTTAAACAAAAATTTTATATTAAAGAACTGTAATTTGAAACTTTTCACTACGTCAAATAAGGCAAGTTATTTGAAATTAAAAACTTTTTGAAACTAAGTTTATAGTTGAATTCTTATTAAATGTATTTTAACCACCAAACATTTATGTAATATAATAATAGAATAATTAGATTATCAAACTTTATTTTTAATATTGATAGTTATTATGTTATTTGAACCAAGTTTTCCGTTTCAACTTATTTCCTTTGCATTTAAACACTGATTACTGTGAGAAATAACTATTAATTTTATAGTCGCTATAGATTGTAATTTACAACACTTTTCGCCTACCGTTCCCTCAAAATAACATGGAGTTGTTTAACGTTTGAAAGCCAAAATGCATCGACAAATGAGGAAGGTATTTACTATGTTTTACTGTTATTTTTATATTTATTAAAATAAAATTAACCTGTAACTTTTGTTTAATGAAATAAGTTCTGTAAGAGCTTCACGCGAACTGGAGCAAAAGTTAGCCCTACCTTATGATATAAGTGACCCTGTAACACCACCAACAGTAAATTAAAGGCCATAAATACAATTAACCTATTATATCTACATGCTAAAATTAACTATATTTTATGAATTTAACTCTCGATTATGAATTTAGCTGGCTAAAGTAAGTCAATTTTACAAATTAATAGTTCATTTATATTAAAACATTTAATATTATATTAAAAATATCAAAATTTTTAAAAAGTAATATATATTAAAAATGATTTACAACTTATTTTATTACAACTTAGGAAAGTTCTTCACAAAAATTGAGTAAAATATATAAACTTAAAAAATATCACGTTTATTAGATATAATTCAAAGTTCTAATGATATGATTCTTTTAATAGTATATTGAGCTACTATGCGCATACATTGTTATCCGGGACAAATTAACAGTGTTAGACATATAATCCGGGACATATTATAGCATCAGTCATTATTGAGATTAATGTTAAAATGATCAAAGTATTGTCACTCATAATGTGGTCCGGAATGGCTTCAGTGTGCATATAGTATATATAGAGATTATAAATAGAATTAATATTAAGTGGAGAAAATATACTGTTTTTAGGCAATTTAGATCAAGTATAACAAACCTAACTTGATCTCTCTTGATACCAATGATAAGCAACATTATATTGACCCCTTACATTATCATATTACATCTACAGGGTTTAGTGAATAGATGTTCACTCAAACTATATTAAACTCAAATCTCATTTAAAAGGTGTATTCTCCACTCAATATTGAATCTAGCTATAAATTTCATATTTTGAAATTATACCATTATACTGTAGTTATTTTTATTATAATTTCGCAATAACAATACAAATAATAGTTCAATCAAAGAATGCGATCGACTACTGGAGCACATATTATCCCTTTCCCCTCACAAAGTGATGGACATCCTATCCCTCAATAACGCCAAACAGACTATACTTCTATTGACTCAACCATTGGCGGACATCGCGAACAATATCGCCGATAATGTAAAGCAATGTGAGATACATAAGCGTCGGATCAATGAATTCACGGGCGATATCCAGGAGCTGGAAAACGAGCTCTACTTGCCATCAGTGGAAATGGTGTCCACAGAACTTGATAGTCCTAAAACAGTGTGCCGGCACAGAGCTTGTTGCTCACGCGAAACACATAATGGCCAGGTAGCAATAAACTATAAAAGTGAATGTCATTCACCATGCTACTTGGACTTCAGCGATGGTAATATTATAGGTAGTAAGGGTCTACTTGATTGCCAGGCGTTTAATAAGTGGGTTCGATCAGGGCCTGATTCATATTTTCACCCTAGTCTATTACGACCAGATGATCAGGGCAAGGTAAATATTAAATTAGTTATGAACTGCATTAAAAATTTACTTAGTATATTAAAATACTAGATAACATTAATTTATAAACGACATTAACAATGACATTCTTAATATTACACTTTAATCATGGCCATTTAACAGGTACAAGAGAACGGGCTCATATGGGGCTGTAAAATGAACCGGAATAAATCGACCAACTGCTTTCAATGTGTCATAGTTACCAGGATCATCTCTACCTGAAGTTTGTTACAGTTTTCGAGACCAAACGTCTGAGAGATGAGACGGCATTCAAACGGCTGAGTGTGGCGTCGGTGGCCACTGAGGTCCGGGAGTGCCACGTACAGGAACTGGAGCTCAAGATTAGTGAACTCACGGAGGAAATGGATGCTATCACGAAATGTATGGCCAATTTTGCGTGTTTTCTCAAACAAAATTCACTGACGCCTATGAACGACCCCTTTGAGGACTACCTGCGCCATCTGATTGACACCGAAAGCGGTAATGATTTAGAAACTACTGGTGAAAATCCGGAGCCGTTGGACAGCCTACTTGATAGGTATAAACGTGAGAAATGTTTGATTGAGGAATTAATGGTGGATGGGAACGGTAACTCTGAGGGACTGTTATGGTTAGCGGATATATATGAAAGTATTGATAAGGTCTGCATGCTCAAATGGAATGGAAATATCATCAAGCATCAATTGAATAGTCACCGTGAATACAAATCTAGGTGCCACGACTATTATAATGTGGTTAATTGTGATGTACCCAATTTTGATTTTTAAATTAGATAATTGGTTTTCTATAATTTATTATATTTAAATGAACAGGTTAGTAAGAATGATTTAAAATGTCTTGATCGAGAAAATAAGTTTATGATGATTTATATATTAATTACAATTAATGCCTGCACATGATTAATTTGTTTGCCTACTAACATTATATGAAGAACACTGACATTATATGAAAATTTTTATCGGTATTATAAGCTAAATAAAGTATACATAAATAAAAAGGGTTTTACCCCAAAAGACCTAAAACCGACAAGACCTAAACTTGAATAACTAACTGACCTATGGACATATATTTTTTATTTTATGAGTAGAATAGACTAAATTATCCTAATCTAAAATAAGTCAAATAACCATTGGTCAGTTAGTTATTTGATTTTAGGTCATTTCCGTTTTAGTTCTTTTAGGTAAGTCCAAATTAAAGTATATTTAATTTATTGTATATAGTCATTTAAACAAATAAATTATTAAATTCTATTTGAAAACCTAATAGCATCTTAAGGTAATAATGATAAATATTGAGCTACAAATTCAAGAAAACACTCAAATGCTTACCACCGGTTAACTTATTTACTACGCTCGATGAGGCTACTCGTGAACCCATATATAATACCGGTCGAGTTTTCAATATTTGGCCCTGTTACTTATGAGCTAAAAACTTGTACATTTATCATACCTGACGATATCAATGAAAACACGCATAAAAGTACAAAATCGGCTACAAAATACTATTGAAGTGTATCCATGTGATTCATAAAAAAACAGTCTAATTTAATCAGTTTTTGATTTTCAATATTTTAATCATTTATAATAATTTGAGTATTCAATTGATAAAACATTCAAACCTTTATTAATCGATGAAAAAATATATTATGAATAATAAATTTTCCTGAGTAATCAACAAATTTAAAGAAAATTCTAATAAATAGTCATTCAATTTTATAAAATGAGTATTTATATAAAGGAATATTCATATAAAATTATTATAAAGAATTAATATTTTTGAAAATCAAAAAC